CATCCAGTCTTGGAAGTTAAAACTAGAGTCCACAGTTTAACAAAGAGTAAGAGAAACGAGAAATGTTTGCACTATATTTGACTGTGATTATGGTGGTTGCAACTCAAGAGCTTATTTCCAAAGGGATATATCTCCAAGAAAGACAATTTTTCAGGAATGGAAAATATTTACATTCAGCCTTAAGGGTTCCAGAGAGGACGCACTCAGAAACAAACGGAAATGCAGATTCTAATGATAGAAATAAGCTCTTAACTTGTGGTTGCAGCAAAATTCTGCCAACGATTACGGCTTCAGTGAATGGGGCGATTGAATTGACGTGATCCTATTTCCAAATCCACTTGAATGCACAATGCGTGCAAATTGTCACTGACAACGTATTGATTTTGAATTCCTGCGACAGATGGTTTCGCCTCGAACCGCTCTTGAGAAGTTTTAGCACATTTGTAATGCCTTGGCCTTGTACACTACAAACCATTCGGTGTTACGACCTAACACTAGAGTTTAAAAAGAGTTTTAGCGCGTTGGCAGCATTCTTTGCGAACCACGGCAAAATAATGATGTTATGTAAAAAGAAGAGAGATTCGCAGATTATCGAATATTGTCTGTGCCCATATATACTTAACACACGTGATATTCCTTTAACTCTTCTTCTTTTTCGATTTAAAAGCGTCGATTTATAATACCGTCCACAAATCTCAGAAGGAACCCGCATAAGATCCAAGAAATATAAACACATACAATAGATGGATCGTTACGAATAATCATTGCGTCCATATCCATATTCATTAGCGTAAAATCTTACGTGCTTGTGGTACTGTTACGAGACACGGCATCCAATTTCAACATATTTTCGTATTGACCTTAAAGCACTGCGCTATGAAGTGAAGCGAAAGGTTTGTCATTACGTTCTTACCTCAGTCACATGACTAGTGCGTAGGATCAAGTCATTGCAAGTGCCAATACTCCCAACTGAGATTGAAACACTTGAAAACAAAACTTTAGGACTAAATCTTAAAGCAATAGGTTTGCACCGATTGTCTTACATTTTATGTTCAGCGTATCTTTACTACACTGCTTACATTAGTAAACAATGAACGAAGTACGACATTGCGGAAAACGTATGCGGGGCCTGTCGTTGGAATTATGGTCACGACAAGTGCGTGGCATATAGATTCGATTCACACCGGCCGGTAGAGGCGATGTGACCATATTTTCAAGTCTCCTCGGATGCTTTACAAGACAAATATCGTCCGCAAGCGAAATGTTCAAAAGGAATTCTTTGCATCGCGTGTTGGTTTCCTGGCTCTAAACCAGCAGCTCTTGTGACGGAAACACGTGACAAAATATCATACTCGGCAGATCAAAGCTTACAGAGTTTTGTCTGGATTGATTTTCTAACTCGCGACCACGTTTGGAGTACTGGGAGATAAATAAACCCAGCCTTAGGTATATTTGTCTGCACACCTTCAACTAGGAAAACATGATATAAAGATAACACTGCTTCCACTTCGATCATTTCTAACACTAAAATGACATCAAATATTATTTTCAATGCTATTGCAAAATGCGAGATGTACGATGTATGCGAGATTTTTTTTTTAAGTATTCTTGTATTTCGGTCACACCCAGCCACGAAGTGTTGGCTTTGAAAAAAAAATGAGATTGAGAAATCTCAAACATCAATAAAGTACCAAACAGTGAAATTATTTTTCACAGACAGCGTCTTTTTAACGTAGAACGATCGTGGCTTTTGCCCAAGTAGCCCATACGGATCAGCTGCTCGTATTTTCATGTTTTTCTGGTTCAGTTCGTTAGATTTTTGAAACAATTATAGAACAGCGTGTATCAATAGATCTCTTAATCAAACGGGACGCAACCTTTTGTGCTGCCGTTTAGCAGTGTCACAAAAAAGTAACAGCTGAACATTTTTGCAAGATGAAAAACAATCAACTGCAAAATTTTTTGCAACATTTTAAATACTAAGTTTCAATACGCGAAATCTGGTATGAATTTGTCAACTAGACGATACTGAATTAGAAAATGTCTGGTATTAGCATCTGTTAGTAGAGTTGACAATACAGAAACTACTGGACAATTTCGAAGCACCCCTTTCTCTGGCCAGAGTAAACAATAGCTTCATTGGGAATGCATCATGCTTATGGCTGGTACGTGTAAACACCATATGCGCAAGCAATATGCATTAGTGGTGGTAATACATTCTACTATGCTGTCTGAATACGCATCAGTGACAGCTCTGATGCGTACGTTTGTCGGCTACTGGTAGTTACTTTCAACTTCTGGCACTTCCGAGTTGGGCGGCATCGAGATGATTGGAGGCTTATTGTATAGCAAACACAGGGGAAAAAATTACTTAATTTTATTACTTCCTTTTAGATATGTGGTCGTGAACCCAAAATCCAGCGTAAAACTGGTAATTGGGAAACAGTTGTGGTTCAAAACTTAAAGCACCTAACAAAAAAATAAGTAAAATTAATATTAATCTTAAAAAGGATTTGCTTATTCTATCAACTTGAGGTTCGTAGCCAATTTTGTATGAGGAACAAAAAATCGAATCTCCACTAAAAGCTTCGAAAGGCACTAATCCCATTTACGTAGGTTTTCCATTTCGATTGTACTTGTTATGTTCACAGGGAACAGTCTACAAAATGAAATACAATGAAATTATTAAACATACTCGGCCTCACGTACTATGTTAACGTGTGACAGGAAATGTTTTTTTAAAAAAAAGTACTCAAGTCAAAGCAGGCTACAAACTGAAAGGATGCATCTTATAGCAATTGCCACGAACGTGTACCTCTGGAGATATAACTCCCCAAAAAAGGAAAAAAAAATAAATAAATAAACGAGAAAAGCGAAAAAGACCTAGGAAGAAAGGAAAAACGAGAGGAAAAGATGAAGACGAACAGAAAAAGAAATCCTTATCAAACAACCACTTCTCTGAGCCTGCATCTCGTTTGAGCCTCCTGTAAAACCTGCAATGGCACCTTTTACGCGCTAGGAATAAAGGTGGGTCCCGTATCTTTCGCCTGAATCTTCCCGTCCAATGGCATGACCGAGAATTAAGCTACACAACGATACGGCATTTACATCCAGTTCCCTTGAAGTTACCAATTCCAAAAAAAGAACAAAAAGAGGCGTAAAGAGCTGAGAAAAAAAGACGAGAATAAAAACAGTTGCTGTTGAAAGGTCGGAAATGAGTGTTAAATACAGAGATAGCTCTAACTGTTTGGGCCACGAGCCATTCGGTCAGAGGTAACCATGACAATCTCTTCAATACTCATTGATTTCAACGGCTAAGTAATAATCTTTGTCAATTAAGAGTCGCTTTTTTTTCTTTCAAAACTCACTCATGTGACGAGAACAAAAGGCGATGCATCAAACTTCTCATCGTAGTTTCTGCTAATGCTCTCCCAATCATCTAAGCAATATTTCGCAGCACTGGTCTCGCCACAATACGAACAGCAAACAGTAATATTAAAGTTGCCCAAATTATGTTTCAAACGAACAAGTTAAATACTTTAACATATATGTACTGTAGTACATACATAACTAGTGGTCCTATAACTAGTAGCACATACTTTCTCGCATTATTTGTAATATTGGCAAATTTTCGATAATTCAGAATGCTCAACGAAAATTAGACCTGCGCCATGTTTTAAGCGTCCTTTGCTCATATTCGAGGAAACAATTAAAAAAATTGGAGCAACTTTTAACAACATTTTGAAAATGTTAACACTTCATGTGAAGTGCCTCCTAACACAACATAACAGTTTCTCATTTTCAGGGTAGTGAGATCGGCCAAATGATCGACTGTGATCAGTTTTGGAGAAAATCGACTCAACGGTTTAGGCGCTAGCCAATTTTTTTGGTGTCAAGGACCCGTAAAACGTGGATTCTGACGACGCAAGAGTAGAAAAAGTAATTTACTACAAAAAAGACCAATATTTAACCATATTTTCAATAATATGGCTCCACAAAACGAGTTTTTCTCTCGACACATCCCATTTTTGCTGCAGCAACGCAATATTTTTTCTTTACTACGTAAGTACGTAGTAATTAAAAAGTAAAAAGCAACATGCCCTAAATCTGTTTATTTCAAGTTCTTACGTATCAGCGTACGGAAACGAAAGCTCTAGACGCGTAGATTACATAATTTATTGCAGTAATTATAAATGGATCAGACGTGAATTCGTCATATATCAAAACCGCCGTAATAAACACGCAAATGAGACAAGGTCTTAATAAATTAAGTAATCGCGAACATATGTATGAAGCACTGGAGGATTCAGAATCTTAGTTTCAATGTTTCGCATTATCCAAGATAGCGAATGGCATTGAAAGAGAATTGCGAAAGAAGATATTTCTATAATAAAAATCTTCGAATATTTGTTTAGTTGGGGCCATCTAGTTAAAATAACATTATATTAAAATGATAAAACAAAATAATTCTAGGCGAGCACACGCCCTGCATTGCAAGAATAATGAAAAAGAAAATCACGTAAATTTTCCATTGAACCAACATCGACTGACTGTAAATTACTTCTCATTAAGTCACTAATGCGGTTGAAAGACAAAGGGAAGTTTAGTATAATATAGTAAACTGCTTCTTCCACACAAACAACTAGTTAGTCACCCATCACCTGGCTGATAATAACCCTGTTTTCCGGCGATTGTTCCCGTCCCCCACCCACGACCTATTCTTGGCAGAATGCTTGGGTTCAAGTAATCGATGTTACCGCTGAGCAGCGCCACTACGTAGTTATCCGATTCGCCACCAGGTGGCACCACTTCCCGACAGTACACAGACTGCTCTGCTGCTCTCTTGGCATATACAAAATGAAAGCCTTCTCAATATTTTTGGCCCATAATTCGGGCTATTAAATCGACAATTCATGGTACCACTAGGCACAAACAATGTTCATAACTTTTTTCATTACTACCTATTTCAGTAACGATATAAACGAATCAGTTTCAGTATTAATATCGTTATTGAATCCAGTAATATTTTAATTCGCATATAATTGTACACAGAAGTGTTCTTAACAAACTTAAATACAATTTTTACAACACAAAATAATTTATTTTTCCAAAACATTGATACAATATATAGTAACTCAAGAACTAACTTGCTCTTCTGTGCAGATAAATGCCACTAATATCAAATAGTCAGCACACCTATCAAAAAAAAAATATAATGAGACTGTGGGCAAAATGTTTTTGTGCATTTAATTACCATAGACTCAGGATATATCATTACTCTATGCTATTACTTTACCCTACTAAATTTTCTCAAACTTATTCTCTTTTTTTTCTCTCTCAATTCAATTATGTAAGTTGCGTAAATAAGAAAGAAACATTTAAGAATTTATTTCATGCAAAAAATACACTAAAAAATTGTAACTTGAATTCCAAACTTATATATGACTGAAGACATCAACACTTTTTTTCTGGAAATCTGCTTTAACCAAAGAAACAGCAATTGCTATAAGATGAGATATTTCAAACAATGTTAAAAAAAAAATGTAAATTCAACTGAACTACATTGAAGAAAGTAGTAATATCCATGTAAATATAACCTACAATATGTTTCTACAATATAATTCAAGAAAAATGTAGGGAGAACTTTCTCATAGAGCAAAACATCTATATTTTGTAAATTTGTATTTACTAATTCTATTAATAAAGAAAAAGAAAAATGTATACAACAAAAATTGCATAAATATTTTAGACCAATACTACATTACTAAATGAAGTTAACTGTTCCCCAATTGTTTGATGAATACGAATAAAGACAAAAAAATCTGAACTCTTGCAAATATTAAATTGCATTGAATAAACCAACATTTTTGCTAGAAATATCAAAAAAGGACTACGTTTTATGTACTGCGAAATGTGAACATTTGATATCTTCTCCCCAATTATAATATATACTTAATGTAGGTGAAATTGCAAATACAATATGAACATGCGTAATGCAAAACTCTGTCTAAAGAGAACATGAATAGAGGTCCTGTCAAACATAAGATCTGCTGTATTACATTGTCTAATGCAGAATCTTGTCTAATACGGAAAAAAATATTACTCCCTTGAGGTTCTGCATTGAGTAAGTTTTACGGTATAAAAAACATTTATAAAAAATACTTTGAATAATAAATTAATATTGAAATTAATCAATTCACAAGATGAAAATTTCAATTTTCAAATGATTGTAGGTGCCTAATGATATCACCACAAGTATTGAAATAAGTACACCTTTCTCAATACTCTTCTACTTTCAATGATTGGATCATTCTAGAAAAACATTGTCTCTGTAGTGAATCATAAATTACTAATGAAGAAATAACAATAGCAATTGAATGAAGGAATAACAACAGGAATAACAATGAATATGTATGAAACACTCAACTGGGGGCAAGCTGGGGGTAGATTACTAAATCGATTTCAAGAAATGCCAATGAAGTGATAATACAGGCTACAGAATCAGCATTAATGACAAAACTATATAATGTAATTCAAATGTCATCTGAAAGGAAACAGTCATATGCTTAAGTAAGCAGAAAGAATACAATTGGGCTCAAGTCAGTGGCAGTAGGGAAGTTAGTTTGGTCAAACATGCTTAGATATTTTGTATCTCAAGCACAGAATGGACAAAAAATTTCCAAAGCCAAATATACATTGCTAAACTTGACCAATAGATAATCTATAAAACTGAATTATTCCACAAAACCTAACAATGTAAAATGCACATATATTTTAATAGAAATATAATAAGTTGAAATCTAATTATTTAGCAAAAGAAGTGAACATCTATGATAAACATTTCTGTCCTCTAGAAATACTTCAAATTTTTATTCCAAAATAAACAGTTAAATCCATAAAAAAGTAACCTTACAATTTACAGAATAAGTAGTTGTAATTTTAATGTTTTTATACACTAATCTAATTGTAACACTTAAGTAAATATTAAACCAAAAAGAAAAACTTAGTGCAAAAATTAAAAATTAATTTGCAAAAAATACTCTTCAGACATGGCTGAATTATTGTTTTTGTTATTATAATTCAATTTCAGCTTATGGATGCCTAAGATAGCTGAATATACTACCCTTAATAGCAAATCTGTGAATTAATTAACACACATAATGGCATTTGATATAATTACTTTGTGCTTCAGAGATTCCTTTGTTTGGCAACAATTGACTAGAACAAGATAAAAAAGTAAATACAGATACACAATTGTACTAAGCTTTGATTTCCCCCTGAGACTACTGCAAAGTGTTTATAGATTATGTTTCTTTAATTTTCTACACAAATTGTTGATGCAAAATACTGTTAACGAAGAGGTATTTTCTTGCATTTGAAGAGTTTTCTTGTCTCGAGATGTTCCACTTTTGTGTTCAATATTTTGAAGTTATGAAGAAAAAGTGTGAACATTCTCCAAGAAAAAATGGTCTATTAAGGACCTTCATAGACGAAGTGACAAATAATACTCCAAAAATTAAATAATTCCCAAACATAAGTCAACACAATTGAAACATCTCAAAATGGAAGACAAATGTACAATCAAGGCCATGAGGCAGATATGGACAAAATAATATTTTGGGCTCTACACAACATGAAAATTCAAAAATCTTGTAATCACATGGTGGTCAGGAATATATTTATCTGGCTTTTCCTGGTTTCTTTTTTTTTAATTAAGAAATGATTTTCCTGAGAAGATTTGTAACTTCATACTACTTAAAGAAAATATTAAAGCTACACCAATATTAATTGGTCAACTCTTTCATTTCACTGTTGCAAAGTACAAGGTATAGATCTTTTGAAAGTGGTTAAAAAGAAATCCCATAAGATAGGTTCAGATCTACCTAACAGTGCTGCTTTAAACACAATACAACTTTGTTCAAACAAATCCTAGGTAAATTGGATTAACTTGCAATGTATAATATCATTAAATGTTTTAAAACGTCATCTATTGTATTTTATGATTATTGCCATTGAAATAACTAACATAACAAATAACAACTGTTGACTAAAAATCTTTATTAAAACCACTAGTTTGTTAACTTTTAAGAGACTTCTTTGAAAAGCTATTGCCCCGGAATCATTTTTTTCATTCCAGTTTCCTAAGTAAATAACGATGTTACATATACAATTCACTCTGTAATTTACCAATACATAAGGACTCTCAAAATTAAAGTCTCAATACGTAAAACAAAAATTTCTTACACAAAACCAAATTAATCAAAACCATTTTCAAGAGAATAAGCATCATGAAGGATAAACAAAAACGAATAATTAAAATTTATAATACGTCTATTTCAACTTCAATTTCAAAATTAAAAATAGTATGTCAACATCTGACAAAACAAATAGCAGGAAGTAGGCATGCTTTTGATAAATTGACTTTATGTACTGTTTTGTAATACTTGTATTTGTATCTTTTTCCTTTTTAATACCACTTTGTACTAGAGAACTTCAAATATTGTCAATTATCTCTACTAACCATGACCTTATGGTTAATGCAACCCTAATAAATAAACCAATTATAGAAAATAAAAAATTAAAAAGAGACTTACAAAATCTTCTAGTAACCGAAGAGCTTTTAGAGATTTCAGTACAAGTGAGAAAACATTTTATGATGCAATGGTATATTTTCAAATCTCTGATGCAAATGTTAATTCCCACATCTTTGGGATGCCATCTGCAGGGCTCAATTAATATCAAATACGAATCAAGCCTGACTAACCTTTGGGTCTCTAATAATATTGAAATATTAAATATACATAATGAAAATAAACTGCAACCTTCACAAATTACAATTTTTTTTCCTATGAACTAATATAAAATTTGATCCACAATAATTATTGGAGTGTTTCATGGGCATAAGTCTGCTTATGCATTAATGCCCTTCTTGAGATTTTGGGTTTTTTGAGAATTTCAATCGACATTTCAAATTTGAATTGGCTTTTCCATGCAGAAATATCTCAATGAGGAATTGGCACATTAAAATATCTTTTTGACGTAAAGTAGATGTTCAGGGACAACTACGTGAGGCAATCAAGAACAAATTTGTAAAATACTTATTCTTGCAGTTAATTATTGATATACTAATAATTAAGTATGACTTAACACTGATCTAGGCATCTCAAAAATTATTATTCAGAAAATGGAATTAAAAATTTTTGAAGTGAAAAATTAACTACTAATTACTAATGTGTGTTCATCTTAATATTAAAAATAAAATTTGACATTAGATTCATGAAACTAGAAATGGACAACAAAAAATTAAGAATGCTTCTGAATTTACCTCTAATCGATCTTTCAGGAACTTATTCATCAAAAATTACAATATAAATCCTTTCAAAAATTGATGATTGAGAAATTTTGTAATTATATTCCTTCGTAAAGAAGAACATGCTTTATTAGTATATAATTTGTGAATTCTGATCTCTGTTAAAAACTATCAATAATAATTATGAGACAAGACTAATTAACACCTGCTTCACACTTTAAGAACAAAAACCATTACAACATATCACTATTTCATTGAAAAATGATTTTGAAACAAATCAAGAAGCACATTGTAACAGAAAGGTTTTAATATTTCACATAATGACCATAAATAACCTTGCAATCACATGGAATTGAGAATAAAACATAATATGCAAAAGTAAGATTAAATACCCCTTAAAAACTGTGTCTGTAAACTTGTAAAAATTACCTACACAACATATTGAGTCAAGTACTCATAACTGTTCTATCTATATATTTGCATTATTGTAGTTGAGGTCTCGGCACAAGTTAAAATTATTTCAGATTTAACATCTGATTTTTACAATGTTACCATTGTTTACAAGAAACAAATACTATAATGTACAGTAAGCATTTTTCCTGTTCTAGCTGCCAAGAATAATCCAAAATCAAGTGAACTAACCAAAATGATTGAACACTACAGAAAAACAGAAACAATTAAAATCTCTAAAGGAATTGCAATTACCTCTTAAATGTTCCCAAATACTCAAATACAGCTAGAAATTGTTTTATCAATCAAGAATTTCTGCTAAACCACAAGAAAGCATAAATTATTAAACAACTTAGTTACTTGATTGATAAGGAAAAACTTAACATTTACAATTCAATAAATTTTGATACCTTAAGTTTTCTTTTCCATTGCTAAGTATTGTTGGCACTCACTGTTTGTAAAGCAGTCCATTTAAGATGAGTTACGAGATGTGTGTTAATATAGCAATTAGATGATAATTAGTTTCCTGTAATATGTCTTGTTATTATATATCAGCATTACTTCTAGTTTAATGACTAAATATTTCAATGAAAAAAGAATGCTATGATACTTTACTCAACTACTTAAATCAAAATGAAATTCATGTATGTATATTGAATTTTATTATTAAAAGAAAGTAAATTAATGTATTATGGCACTCAATCACTTCTCATTACAAAATGCAGTTTTATTTTGTACATGCTTCGTTAAAATTTTTCACAGCATGAAATATTTTTCATTGTATTGTAATAATTGGCTTTTGAAGCAAACATTGTACAAGTTTTCATCAATGGAGGTATCTTTCATTCAAATAATAATAATATTAACTGTATTGTCGTTTATGTTACAAGGTATTATCATAAAGTGTATGTCTTATTACAAACATGTTCCTGATTTGAGAAGTATTTAGGACTACAATTACATACAATTGAAGTTACTTTGTTTTAATAATTTCTTTTATTTTGTCTTGGGAAAGATGCAAGAGTTCAATAAATTACAACTTGTACAATAGCTACAATACACTTCATCATAAAGCTTTCTTACTTCTTTTTGTTAAAAAGTTAAATTAAATTCATATTAAATTTAATTTAAATAAAAATTCTTTTATTTTATCTCGTTTTTTAACAATTCTAAATACTCTTTTATTTTCAGATTTCCTGTATCAATTTTGCTGTTTTCAGACACATTCATTACCAAATGAAATCCAATTAACAACATTCTTTCGAGTTGGGGGCTGTTTTGTTATGTTCAAAGAGAAGTCAATATTTCTAATGAATATTGATTGAACCATCTCTAATTATGATTTCTTCTCTGGTATATAGTCATTGCTCTCTAAATTGGCCTTTGAACTCCGACCAGCTCCAATTATGTTTATTCACAGTTGTGGCCAGAGAGTATATATGTTGTGGCACAGTTGTGGCAATGATACATGAGAAAGCATGTCCTTCATGATCTCTCTCAGTGCAGACAACTGTCAGATTTTATAGTATTGAAGACAAGATAAACATGTTTTCATTTATCTCGTTTAAGAAACAAAAGTTTATTTTACTGAGTGAAAGGCATACCTGGTGCCAATTATTACATTATTTTAGAAGTAAGCTCAATACTCTTGATAATATCATTGTTGCAGGCATTTGTATAATGAATAGTTTGTTATTTAATCATTGACTATTGTTTTATATAAATGTAAAATATTGTCATTACAGAATGTGCACTCATATGCAAAATTTGTTAAAAATAGAAAATCTTAACCATTAAAAACTAAACAAACAAATGCTCGATAATGAGAATATCGGGATGAAAGCGGTCATACATGTAAAATTAATAAGGAGATAATTTGTTAAGTAAATATGCCTCACTTTCTATATTCTGTGCACGGTAGAGGAAGGAACAAACAAATTATAAACTGCACAACAAATAATGTCCATTGTAACTATCAAGATGCTCAAATGTCAAGCAATTTGCATTCTACATCCCTAAAATTTCCCAACAAGTACTGAAAATTTTACAATATAAGTGTTAGGGTGCAAATTTTGGCACAATTTTAAAGTTGTTTTTTTTTTCCCTCAATATGACCAATCATTACTAATGTTCACATGAATACAGAAGTCCATTACTTCAATGATTTCAATAACATATTAAAGAATTGAGAAAGTTCCAGTTCCAGATATATAATTTGTTCCTTAAGAAATTACAGGGAACAAAATTTCTTTCATCTTACATTTGAAACTTCTTAGAATATGTTGTTAATTCATTCAATTCTGCATCACCAATCACTTCCAACGAATTGAATAAAATAGAGAAACACTGATTAACTAAATATAAGAATATAGCAAAAAAAATAAATGCAAGTGTATAGTATTACTAAAACTTTTAGAGATACCTTTAAATATTAGTTTCTCTACTGTTGTCCCTGATTTTACCAATATCTTCTGCAACTCATAATATTTAATAATTCAATTTAAAATTTTCTTAAAATATGAGTTGTTTTGGGCTAACAAAAAATTCTCATTAAATGTCCTACCAATTTAATTATTGGTACATCATTTTGGGTAAACATATGAAATAAAAAATAATTTTATGACCATTAACATTCATGTGTTCATGAAGTGTTCATGAAGTTCAACATGCAATTTACAAAAGTGGAATTCTCAGGAATAGCAGAGTTTCAAACAACTATCATTGGCACATCAGAACTTCTAAGTTATTTCATGAAAATTGTATCAAAGTATGATCTTATCATCTTAGAATTGAATTTCTTAGAGAGAAGGAAATTAAAAAAAAAAATTATCAGTATTAAAAAGCAACAGCATAGCAGTATTACAAAGAACGTTTCAACAAAAAATTAAATTTCATCACACAATGTTTCAAAAGCTGCTGTTGCACTGATGCACTTATATGGAAACATTGGTTGTCTTCGAGAACTGATTTTGGATGGAGTATTAATTGGATATAGAAGGTTGAAGAGTTGCTTGTGTTAAGTGTGCATTCTGTGAAATAAGTTTCTATTGAGAATACATTTTGTTTTTTATTATATTGTATTATATGAAGATGACTTGTCCCATGTAATACATGACAAGTTGGATGAAATATATAATCTAATCTAAGCTGATTTCAGTTTCATTGGCTAGATTGAGCTCACAGTTGTTAATTATATAATTTATTAAAGCAATATTTTTGGAGTTTCAAATACTCTCTGATACAGTTGATACTCTAAATGCAATGTCATCATGAACTGTCAAATTGTCTGTCAAATTGCAGTTTGCTTTAACCCAAGCAACACGCCCACAATATCATAAAATACAATGCAAAATGTACAGAAATTTATCGTTACACAAGACTGATTTTCCCCATTTTGAACTGTTTGTACACGTGGACACACAACAAGCAAATATCAATTTGTCAAACAGCCATGCTGATTCTATTTTTATTAAAATTAGCATAGAATATTAGCAAATAAAAATGCTGAGTTACGCTATTAAAATGTAAATTAATAGATAAAACGTTAATATTACAGCTCGATTTGATATTTCACAATCAAACTGTTGGGCTAAATAAGACGATTATAATAAATCGTAATTTCTTCAGGAGTTATCTTTCACTATTAAATAGATACAAAATCAAATCTCCACAGTACCACAGTATTTCTGATAAAATATTCGCATGCGTTCGTAAGATGTCGCGAAATCAGTCTAAATTGAATGACTGAATCAAGAAGGCGTGTCACATTTACTCACGTTTACGTCGAAAAAATTCTTTAATTATCCAAAAGAATTCAGCATTTATCCCAACAGGCACCATTCGCGTTTCCTGCAACATAATGCACCACAACTTTTAACACCATTGCTTTCAGTAAAGCGAGAAGTTATTATTACGACATTGTCAACACCACGTGTCCACGTGGTGACAATACAAACATTTCTGGAATGCGACCTTCCATTGCGTCATTCTACCAGGAAATAAACAACGGAATCAAACAAACCTAGGAAAAGCCGTAGAAACTCTCAGAACGGCACTCGCGCACAAAATTAACACACACACTTCACGATCACATCACACACCCCTAACAAGTGTAAACACACCCCCTGCCATATTGAACAGAAAACAACCCGCCTTTTCCCTCGCCATATTGACAGGTCCAGCAGGTACACCAACCTTTCGGGGTCAGGGTCGCCAGTATTTAAATCGACCCGCGAACATTTAACTGGACGCACACGTCATCACAAGTCCCTGTCGGGCTCACTGTTCATGACGTTGCCAAAACATTCATGGAACGTATGGGAAAAATTTTTCACACTCGGTGCAACTTTCGCAGCAAGGGAAGCTCCGAGACATGGGCAGATGAGGTAGACGAATACCAGCCGTGAAACATACTTTCTCTCCAAGAAGCATACATGGTGCGTCACAGTAGCTGTCATGGGATTGAAGATACTTCCAGTGAGATTCACCTGCAAAAACATACAAATATCTTGTTTGTATTGTTTCTCAAATCTGCACTAAAAACCTATAATTTAATTTCAATTAAAATGTATTATTAATATTATTCACAGCTCCGGAAACAGCGTTTACTGAAACAGTAACAATTGGAGACACCAGGGGGAAAAGAAGGAATGACACTATGTTAAAATTCGAGGGAAACTAAAAAACTTTAAGGCTATATTGAATAAAAAAGGAACGCAAAGATAACAATAACAATATATATTAAGTCTGGGGTTCACAGGATAACCATTACAAATTTCTATGGCACGTAAGGGTGGAAATAATAATTTGTTCTCATGAATATGTACTGTAAAGTTGCAAAAAAAGGAAGTTATAGGCATGTATGCACCCAGTATTGGCAGACGTGCCATAGATACATGAAAACTCCTTGACTGTATCAGAAGTGACCTGCCGAACATATGTGCTTCCGCGATTTCCTAAAAAGTGGGGGAAATAAAACATGCATATATCCCTCCGTAATATGAAATTTCCTATTACCTGTTCATTAGCAGAAGCATTAGCATTATCTTGTTCGACCCCTTTACATGCCCCTAGAACAGGGTTGTCCAATCAGCGGCCCGCAGGCCGTAAGCCGCAAGCGATGCCATTTATTATGGCCCGCGAAAGGTTTTTAGTCAAGACGTAAAGTCCCCTGCATCCATATCGAACGAAAACACATTGCACCTAGCGCATGCTACATAAACTATTTTTACATAATTGGTTGTTGACTCTGTGACCTATCAGAGTCAACAACCGCTAATGTAAAAATAGTTTAAGTTTAGATTTAAGATTTTTTTTCTAGAAAATTTATAAATCATCCCACGCATTTCTTGTTATGAACGCTACGGCCTGATATCACGCTGCTTCAATTTTTCCCTCCACTGTTTCAGATCAGCCGGGCAAAGTGCTGAGATCAGCAGTATGGGAAAGTTAGGTGTGGATCACTCGAATAATGAAAATATGGCCCCCAAACCAAATCGCATGATATAATTGTGGCCCTTGAGGCCTTGCAAGTTGGACACCCCTGCCCTAGAAGTTTGAAACATTTATTTCCAGACACCTTGTAATAATTATTTATGTGTCTAGGGTAATACGTAGATATTTTTGCTTGGGAGACTGCCAAAACCGAAGACCTCCGGTCCACATTGTTGGAAGTAGCCTTTGGGGCATAATATCCAGTAAAGTCCGGATTACATACGAAAGTATGGGGTACTAGATCGTTGCCGAGTCAAACGAGAATTTGGAAAAAAAATACCTTCCATCAAAAAGACGCACTATTGTCAGTTGCCAAGTTGTCAGACAAACCAGAGTATATTGAATTACTGTTAATGTCACTTTTAAGAGTGGTGTATACAATTTAAGTTTGAGTTTGTGAGGTTCCAGATGAATGATGAATTGGTTCAGAGGCAAAATAACAGTTGTCTCTGCAGCGACTAGGACTGGGAAGTCCTAGGGTTCGAGTTCTGACCCTGGCGCGATTTCTACACTCTACTGCGATTTTCGCAACTCTGTCCCTGTCAGGTATCAGCTTTTGACAGTTTCATCCAATCGGAAGCTTGAAACCATAGTCACCATAGTGGCGTCAAGCGCCCGATTGGATGAAACCGTCAACAGCTGGTACCTGCCAAGGGCAGAGTTGCATAAATCGCAGTATAGCTAGATTGGTGCAATTCAGTCGCTGTCTGACTGGAATTGCAGCGGCCGGCTGCTCTGATCGGTAGTTTTCCTTACTTTCTTCGATTAATACCAGAATGCCAGAACAGTACCTTAACAAACGGGCCTCGGATATCGTGCGCGATCTTTCCTCTCTCTTTCTTGTCCCATCTTGTCCCTTTACACACTCACGCTCTACACTACTACATATGTCGCGAGAGCAGTCGCAAGCTTAGTGCTTGTCCCGGCGGAGATACCTGGAACGGGAAACCACGACAGCCGACATGCAGGTCGTCGCTGGACCTCTCGTTATAGCTGGACCTGACCCTGGTGGGAAGCATATAATATAAATCCATGGCGTGAAGCGAAGAATATAATGCCAAAAATATAAATATGTGGCGTGAAGCGAAGAATATAAAAATGGAGAGGAACACCGTCACTTCCCGCGATATAAAAGGCACTAAATTTACACAGACCTAATGACTACACTAGTTGACGCTCCCGGAAGCACAAAATAACCAAATCAATCATCTTGCTCACAGCGAGTAGTTTGACGCTCACGTAAACAGCGTACTTGGCGAGGAACGTAGCCCAGTGGTGCAGCGCGTGGACGCACTGGTGCGTTGGCGTCAGGCCCCGGGACACCACCTCCACGAAGAAAGTTCCCGCCGCCTCCACTGCGGCGCTGTGCATCACCGACAGCTGCGCAGAGGGAATTTCAAGTACGACTAGTGTCTGCAGCAGAATAACGCTGCTGAACGAAACCACATGAAACGAGTTTCCAAAAAGTAGCCCACGCACAGCTCAAGAAAACAAATAAAATACTCTCATATGGCATTGCATTAAATTAAATATTTTGGAAGAAATGGTCTTCACGAATTCTGCGATAACATAACATAGTGTAATATGTAGGTACAGTACAACTTTAAATTCGAAGAATATAAGCATTAAGTGTTAAGTTATTTCATAACGCAACACTTAATTACGAGTACTTAATAGTGGGAGAGGCTCTTTCTTGTATTTGTTCCTTAAAGATAGATTTTGAAGTAAGGTCACGTATAATTTTTCGAAACTTTGGGTTTCTTTCATGTAATTTTGCGTGAGAGTACGAGCCAGAAAGTATGTGCCATTTTAGCACCACTAGTTTTTTCCTTCGGTTTTGACAATAGTTCTATCGCATTGATCGCTTGTTTCACAAAACACTGTTTTGAAAAGACTGTTAGAGATGATATAAGTAGATTTCTACTTCCACCATACCGTTTTCTTCTAAAGATCTCAAATGGCCACAGAGTCTCCCTGCACGTAGGAAAACGTACCCTGACTGGCAAATTGCATTTGAGTGTTTCCGTGCGAACTGGCGAAAACCACGTGATGTATCTGCAACAACAGCAATGCAATACTAGTTAATAAAATATCCAGAGGTACAGATAAAGTAAAACGTCTCTAAGACTATTAGTATTAAACTAGCTGACATTTCTGTGTGCTGATTATTACTAGGAAAATGGAAACTCTTTGTGTCCAGAATCTTTCCAGCGAAAATTCACTATAATAATAATAATAATAATAATAATAATAATAATAATAATAATAATAATTGTTATTATTATTATTATTTTGTGAACCGCGATTGTAACGTAGCGCCGCGTTGACCTATTTCCACACAATAAATCCTCACCCCGCAACTGCGTCGTAATCGGACAAAAACGTCGTGGTACCTGAGCCCTTTGTAGCGCTTGCGAGCCCCCGACCCACAAAGGGCCTCCAGGGCAACCTTTCGAGGAGGGCTTTGTGCAAGGGCGTCGGCGCGGTCCTCGCCCTTTGTGGTCGCACTCCCCGCTCCCACCACCCGTCCCTCCCCTTCTCACGTCTTCCAAGATCCTATACTGTGGGCCCAGTTGGGTTGAAGTGGCCCATTCCTTCCCTGCCTTTAGCTTCGAACAATCGACCGATAGATGTCGTATTTTGAAGAATAGACTCACCATATTATTATGATTATTCTTTGATTTTTCAATTTCGTCATAATAATAATAAAATCAATAATAATAATAATAATAATAATAATAATGAATATATAGTTATAATAATAATAATAATCAATAATAATATAATAAATAATAATAATAATAATAATAATAACAACAACAAAACAAGTGGCGCCCATGGCGCAGATGGTTGCGGCAGCCGTCGTCTGCGCCGAGGAGGCTGCATGTTCGAGTCCTACGTGGACAAGGTCTTATTTGTGATTGTCCCTTAACCCCTCATCATATTCCTATCATCTCATAATTCACACTTCAAGGCGTAACAACCTTGTCATACTGAGGGCTACAGAAGCAAAGCTTGCCCTGGAAAAATTTCACACGTTAATCGTGTAGCGTGGTCAGTAATGGCCTATGCGCCCATAATAATAATAATATAACAAAAATAGTAATTATTATTATAATAACAATAAAAACCAGTGGTTTTACAATATGTCACAGTATTTTTCATACGTATTTTTATAGTATATTTAATCTGGGCTAGCTTTCTGCATTGCCCTACTCTCTTTGGATCTGCTACCTATTGGCACATCAAAGAGAAATTTTTACATTTACTCTTCTCTAAATAAAATTGAAATTAAATTTTAAGAATGTTATGGAAGAGTAAGACTTGGTCTCCTCTGCAAATGTACATTTTAAACAATGGAGCCGTTTTTGACAAAATATTGATCCAATGGTTTTAAAAATGCTCATTTTTGAACTCAATTATACAGAAAAGGTTTGGAGTTTTCGATAAACTTCTGTAGACATAATTATAAGCACTTAAAATCACAAATACAGCAATGTATAAACAATCCGTGTAATTTAAACATTAACGACGTAAGAGATTTTTCAAAATAAAAGTAATATTTGAAAAATTAAAAGATAACACCAAAATGGCGTTTATGTCATGTAATTCAATGCATTTAGCACTATCTGTACCAAAAATTTCAAGGAGAAAATTGGTGCCGATTTGAGAAATCGTTGTATCAGCGTTTCTGAAAAGAGCAATTTTCGGCATATTTTCACAGAAAACTTTTAATTTTTTGTGAAACTTCATAATAAATCATTTGAAGTACATGCACTTACAAATGTACAAGCAGATTTTTACTGTAAACACATTTTTCGGTATCAAGGACACACAAAACGTGGACTCTGACTACTCAACGAGTTAGAGGAAGAAATTTAATACATTGATCGGAACAAGAATTATCCACTTTTTAGGTAAGGAATACTTGCAATGCGAATTTTTTTTTGCGCCATAATTTCTTTCACTGCAGCTATTACAAAATTTTACTATGTATCACGTACTATGTACTGTATATGTACAATCATCCAGTATAAAAAGCGAGAAAGTAATAGCAATGTCGTAACCACGTAGGTAGAATAGTAGACCGTCGCCACCAAGATGAAATCGAAGCGTCTAAAAGTCTAATAGAGATTAGCCGGAGGTGGGACGTAAACAGGTCAGGTTACAGGTCTTAACGATAATTATCGGAGCTTTGGTATTTCTTCTGCAAATTATATGTAAGAACTTGTTCAAATTCTTGGTCATTTAAAAGACTGAAAAGGGCAAGACATCCCGTTTTTGGTAACAATCTATATTTTGCGTCAAGTGTTGAGGCATGAGAAGTTGGTGAGGTAAATGTTGACAATCAAAAATTTGAAAGTACTGAGTCCTGGACAAAGAGAGCTAGATCTCTTAATACATTTCAAAAAATGTTTCGTAAAAATTCAAAATTAATCAATAAACATTAAATTAAAACCCCAAAATTCTTTTATATTATATTTCTTTTGATTTATTTATTATTTATTGCATAAGGGCTCATCTACTACAGCGGTAATTAATCCAGAAAGCGCAGTGAATGTTATGTTATATCTCTGGAGAAGGTGGTGTGTCTGGATCGTTAGATCCGACAACAACCTACACAATGGTTTTCGGTTTTCCGTACTAGGTATCTCCCCCAACGGGGCACCTTCTCAATTGAAACAATCACTTTGCTCCCGACATATGTGGTAGTGTAGAGCCTGTGAGGTATTGTGAGTGTGTGTAAGAGATGAGGATACTTGTAGGACAGAAAGGAATGATCGCGGGCGGTCCGTGGTCCGTTTGTTAGGGAACTGCTCCGGCATTCGCCTGGTGTTGATCGGAGAAACCACAGAAAACTACTGGTCAGAGCAGGCAGCCGCCAAAATTCTCCTCCAGACAGCGGCTGATCTTAGCCCAGCTGTATGGCTAGCATCGAAAATCTTGGCAACGTCAAGTCTCAAAACCTAGGACCTCCCGGTCAGAGGGTCAGCAATATCAGTTGATGTCCGGAACCATCTAAGTCAGCTTCTGACGCTGACCTACACCTAGGCTTGCGGGCTTTCTCCCACAGAGTACATCGTCCAGCAGGGCACCTTCCCAGCGACACAAGCTCCAAGCTCCAGGTCACAGAAAACATCGTCCAGAGACGTCTAGAATTTTATAAACAGCGGATGTCACGCTGGGACACAAAGTCCGTTCTGGCGCACCAACGGCTGGTTTGCCTCGATCGCAGGAGCCTCGATATTATCCGATCGAGAATCGGCGTGAATCGTGGCACTCAACCACTCTTCACCTCGGAGCACGCACACAGCATCGCTCCCCCGTGACCGCAGTCACCCAAGGACCTTAAGTCCGCAGGCTTCGTCAACTAGTGACTCGAGCCTCGCGAGCCTGGCTCGCATATGCACCGTCGTGGCGCCAAGTTTTGTGCACACGCACGAGGTTCTCCCACTGTCTCCAGAACCCACCCACTGGCTCTGTACACACAGTTATATAGGCGGGGCCCACGTGACCTACTACGTCACGCCACCCCCTCGCTTGTTATAACAGTGAAAAGTTTCTATAGGCCGGATACTCCCAAAGCCTTGTGTCTCCCGTTTCCGCGTTCTTGCCTTTACGGAAAAACCCTTCTTCCTGTGGCGAGGCTAATCCTCTTCCAAGCGTCCCCAAATAGATGCCATGAGGCACGCTGGCTAATACGTTACATTACCTACGACGCAAGCACCAAGCTCCAAATCAGAGAAAACTACCGATCAGAGCCGTCTAAAATTCTATAAACAGCTCAGCTATATAGCTAGTTTTGGAAATAGGCCAACTTCATAACTCTAATCTTATGTCAGCAATGATGCAGATGCAACAGCAATAGGGCCACTGAGTTATCGCAATCAGCATTGTACTGCCAATTAATGTAACTATAGGCAATACAAATTCTCTGTACACCACATCAAGTTATAGTGAAGTTATTACAAGAAGGGACCATTTTGCCAATCGGGAAACAAATGAACGTCAATCAGGGCGACGATATTACAAAAGATAGTGATGTAGCCATTGTCACAAGAGCTAACAGCAAACAAATGCACTGACAAAATGGGTGCATAAACATAACCTGTTGTTGTATTGCCAGAAGTGGTCAAGCAGTAGTTGTCATATTGGTACCTTCTTATAGTAATCTCTGTATAACTGCGGCTATGTGAGGTTGTGGCCTAATATTGCGAGTCTTGTGCCAATGTGACTCCTTTTGGTCCACTGTGATCTCCGCCTCTCGAACAAATCGCTCTTTGGGCCAATCTGTATCCTTTTGGTCCACTGTGCTCGCCTCTAGAACAACAGATGAAGCGCGCCTTGAGCCAATATGTCTCCTTTTGGTTCACTGTGCTCGTCCCCGTCTCTAGAAGAACAGATGAGTAGCGTCTTATGCCAATCTGTCTCCTTTTGGTTCAATGTGCTCGTCCCAGTCTCTAGAACAACAGATGAGTAGCGTCTTATGCCAATGTCTTCTTTTGGTTCACTGTGCTCGCCCCTGCCTCTAGAACAACAGATGAAGCGCGGCTTGGGCCAATCTGTCTCCTTTTGGTCCACTGTGATCGGCCTCACCGCAGCCGTCGCTCGGAGGGCAGCAGGTGCCACTGGGGCGCGTTGCCTTTGTGAGGCAGAGGAACAGGTAGCCCGCGGAGAACAGGAGACGGGTTCTGGCTTTCCACGCACTTCAACTTCACAGGCGGTGCTCCGCAGGGCGGGGGGCTTGGTGACATCTACCCCCCTCTCAACCACTTGTGGCTACTTTTGGTAGGGGACAGCAGGTGCCACTGTTGAAGGGGAATTCTCAGGAGAATGGTGCACCGCTCACAGTTTTGTAAAAAAATGCAAATCTCCAAAATAAAAAAAACAACTTATTTTGTATGCTCCCACTCTGTCTGAGCAATTTGTGTGCGTGGGGACTGCCGGGGAAGGGGGAATTGTCGTGGCTTAGATACAATTTCTTAGGTTTTTTTTAGTTTTTGACAATAACTAAAACAGTAGTGTCTTTTAATTAAAAATGTGTTTATTAATTAATGTTATCTCACCCCTTCTGGGCACTTTCAGTGGAGGTGAGCCCTGTGGTTGAATGGTGACATTTCGAGAGAGTGGAGCACAGTTTCTCGTTTTTCCTTTTTTGACACTAATGCATAAAAAATCACACAATAGGGTTGCTATCATGAAAATATACGTCTATTATTTCGTCTCCTTTCGTTTTCTCCAAACTTTCTGGTCTCTTTTGGTTGGGGAAGTGGTGCCCCGCTTTTGGTTTTCGTCAGTGTTCTTTTATGAAGAAAACAAAGAAAATACTATTTTTTCCTCTTGCTTCTGTAGAGAATGGACAACGGGCAGTTGATGCGGCGAATCCCGTGAGATTACAGTAGATTTTCAGTCCGACCCGATTTCGAGACCGACCCGATCGCGAGTCCACGCCAAACCCAACTCCAAATCAATGCCGACCCCGAACAAAAATCTGCCCGGCATCAAACACTACCCCCACCGGGTGTGTTCCCGGTTCCAACCCGATTCGACTCGAGTTCAGTCCGAGACTGGTGACCGATGGCTCGCTCCTCGCACGTGATCTGATTCTGGTCCATTGGCTCATTTCATTGATTGATTTGTGATTCCGGGCGGGTCAACTACTAAGGTCATTAATCCCATATGTGTAGTGCATGTTATATTGCGGGAGGTGGCAGTGATCTTCTCCCGCTGGAGAGCATGATCCAGCGACGTCAGTTAGCAGGGTTTTCTCCAACCAGGTATCTCCTACCAGTGAGGCACCTCCCCAGCTCGGACAAGCTCTAAACTCCGGACTGGCCTCCTGACGTGTATGGTAATGTAGAGCGTAATGTAAGTGTGTGTAAGTAATAGACGAGGACGTGACAAGGAAGAGGAAGGCAAGACAGCGCGGTTCGTGACCCGTTTGTTAGAGTACAGCTCCGGCATTTGCCTGGTGTCGATCAGAGAAATCACAGTGCACTACCGATAAGAGCATCCGGTCGCTAGAATTCTTCTACTGACAGCCGCTGAATTCGATCTAGTTATCTTCCTTCCACTATCCCCCATCGGGACTCGAACTCTTAGACCTCCGGGTCATAGGTGTCTGTTGATGCCCTGAGCCACCTCATAGCAGAGCCAAAAGTTGATACCCTGAGCCAACGAAGCCGATGAATCTCCGTGAAAAATTATCCTATAAATGTGAATACTTCTTGTTTCTACAACTTTCCTTCCGCTGCTTAGCATGGTACGTCGTGTAGCATGAACTTCATACTAGCCGCATCTGAGCTCGAACTATGTAGCTAAGTCCTGCCACCGTCGGGGCTCGAACCTAAGACCTCCCGGTCAGAGGCACTGCAGTTACATCAGTTTATGACTGAGCCAAGACGGTTTGAATTTACTCCATGAACCCAACCATGTAACGCATTCGGCCCACTGCGTGGATAGTGTGCGGAGGGGGCTGGGGGGGGAAGGGGGGTGGGGAGGGGTCCGGAGGGACAGGTGGCTGAGGATCACCCTCTTGAGGAGAGCGGGGGACTGCGCGGCGTGGGCGGTACCCGTGACGTCTATTCAGTCCACCGAATGCATACCGCATTATTCTCGGTTTCAGCCTCAAAGTGCCTCTGACAGCCCCAACAAATGGTGCTGGAAACGCACGGTCGATTTGGTCTACCATTGGGCTCCAGCCGATAAGGGGACGCGATGTCATTTATTTTTCTTCCACTACTTTTCTCTGTCTCGTCTATAGTCTTTATTCCGTCTCGTTTTACTTCCCTCCAAATGTTTTTGGGTTTCACTCTAGTATGTCTTCTCCTCGCCTACCACTCTTTACCTCTCTATTATTTTACATCTTTTTTTCCCCTTAAAAATCATTCTTATTTCTGTCAGTCTTTTCCATTTCCTTCTATTTCTCTTCTTTTCTCACTCAACTTTCTTTGTCATTTTCTGATTAGAACAAGCAAATTATGTTTTCCTTCATCCCGTTTTTATCTATCTGCTCTCTCGTTTTTACCACTAAGTTGTCCTTCTCTCTGTGTATTTTTGAGTCTCGCTCTCTATTTTTTTTTGATCTCGCCTTCCTCTCAGTACTTCATTCCCCCTTATGCATCCATTATTTCATTAATATTCTCTCATTATATTCATTATTAATTATCTCTGTGGATAGCGTTTTGAAATCTTACATTTTTGGCTAGCTTCTTTCAAAATTTTTTCTTAGAAACATATTAAAAATATTATTTTTAAAATTTCGATTAGTTTCAGACTGATTTTTTTAAATAAAAAAATTGAACATTCTCGAGATGTTTCTGTAAATCCAACCACATGTTTTCTTGGAGCGGATATGGGAATGTGCTCCTTGTTGGAGCTTGAAAGTGTTTTCTTGTTCCTGATACCGCCCCATAAATATTCAGAAGCAGATCTATTACCAAAAGGAATTTACACTCGCATCACAAATAATACAATGGCCATCCGCAAGAGCATATCATAAATTATTTCTCTCTTAAACAAATGGCCATTTTAGAGCGATTAATCTCTCTAATTTTGAGAACTATCCGTCTCTGAACTCCAGTAGGAAAGTTGGCATTATATACTATTATAATATAATATCTTAGTATATAATGCCAACTTTATATATATATATATATATATATATATATATATATATATATATATATATATATATACACACACACTTTGTATATTATACTATTGTATGTTATATACACGTGACAGATGTGTATGTGTGTGTGTGTGTATGCGTGTTAGTCAAAAACGTTGGATTAACGGGAAATACTGCTTCCAAATTTTGCACGAATGCTTTTGAGAGCCGAGAAAGAGTAATTTACGTAACACGTGCGCGAAACAGGTTATTCGCACAGAGTCGAATTTGTCGCCCGAGATTATGCTAGGTATACGCGAATGTTTAATACATAGAATGAAACAAATACCTGTTTCGGACACGGAAAACAAGGACCATAAATCGGAGAGTATTAAAACAGTGTCGCGGAGCGGGAGGGGAATTGCGTGTGGAGGGAAGAAGCTTCGTAAATCACTGTCATCTGTCAGTCCTATTATAAGACAACATGATTGATATTAAACTTTATACGCTCGTGTTGCAGCGACACCTGCCATTGCGATGTCACATTAATATTCGCTGTGACAGAAGGACAGGAAGGATTGATTGATTGATTAGTGAGTTCGGGAGCGTCAACTGCTCAGGTCATTCGTCCCGTAAATGTAGTGCATGTTTTATAGCGGGAGGTGGCGGTGATCTCTGACGGACGAGATCCGGCAATGACCTATTTGGCTTGCGGAAATTTTCTCAAACCTCCCACCAGCGTGGCACCACCTCAGCCGGGACAAGCTCTAAGCTCTTATTTGCTCTCCCGGGATGTGTGGTGGTGTAGTTCATACGAGTGTAAGTGTGTGTAAGAGAGGGGTGAGGTCACTCGTTTGGTATTGATCGAAGAATCCACGTAAAGTACCGATCAGAAGAGCCGGTCGCTATAAAGCAGTGCTGGCTGTGTGTAAATTAGGGATCAAGTAATCCCTTAATCTTTTCTCACGAGGCTTACTTTTTACTTCTACGCATAAGTTGGGGACTAAACTTACCCAGGTAAGGAAAGGAGTTTTGAGCAGGTAAGCGCGATAAGGGGACCACCTCTTACGAGCTGCTGTCCAGCTCTTCCTAGTGCCTTATTGAAAATATTCCTAACTCGCTCCTACATCACAATGAAAAGCAAAGAAAGCACTAGAAGAGTGTCCAGATTCCATATTCTGTGTCACAGAATAATAGCTGAGAACAAGGAAGAACTTAAAAATGGCAAGATAAGGAGAATTCAATCAATCAACGAATGATTCATTTGAATGAAAACAAACTTCACACAAACCATATTTAAGAGAAATATGCCAGCCCTAAAACTGGAAAATTGGGGAGATACGTTTCAAAAATAATGGCTATGAAAATGATCTTAAAAAACAAAGTCCACTTTGACTTGGAATGGGATGAGGATTCGGACCTAAATTTATTTATCTTTTTTTTTGGTTTGGTCCCCAATTTACACATGGGTTACACTTATTTTCCTCCCGGTCCCCAATTTACCCCCGCCGGCAGTGCTACACCGCTCTCGTCCCGCAAAAACTCTCTCGTCCCGTCTAGTAACGCAAAAACTGGGAGTAGCACGGAGTAAAAAGGCAAACAAACAGGGAGTACCAAGGAGTACCTGTATCCGATCCATCCGCCAGTGAACTGCGCCCACGTCTTCACCAGGGCGAACTCCACCCATTGCTGGTCGGGAGGCATCGACGCTAGAGAGGACGCCGGGTTGCCCGTCTCGTGCCAGATCCAGTAGCGGCTGCGGTACAGGCGGATGAGCAACACGATGGCGACGTAAGTGGCCACCTGGCGGGGAACAAGCCCAGGGCCTCAGGGTCATTCACCTCGACACGTACGAAATTTTGTTCGTGGAAAAGTGAGAGAAACCTACTTTTTACACTCCATCATATTGTTTATAAACGTTTTATGCGAGGGATATATATATATATACTATATATATATATATAATATATATATTATATATATATATATATATTATATACCGTTTTGAGAAACTAGTGTTTCGCTAAATGGACAACCCGTAGATCTAAGGACTGTAGGTGGAAGTTGATTAGATCTGGCGGAATGTTATTTGATGAAAATAAGACGTGTTCGACTGAATATGTTTTTATAAATATCGGAATTTAGCGTTTGCGAAGTACCGACAAACGTGGCGAGACTGTGCCACGTGGGGTGGGAATGTTCCAGACTCCATTACTTGAGATAATCTCTTCCTATTGCCAGGTATGAGCACTTTGCCTGTATTTGAACTAAGAACTATTTGTGCAAGTTAGTTGTTATTAACTGTTGACAGTTATAAGAACTTAGTTGTTATTAAGTTCTTATAACTGTCAACAGTTTGTAAATATCTCAAGGAATGGGGCCTGGCATATTCTTATCCAATGCGACAAGGTCTCGCCACGTTTGACGGTATATTTTATTGTTAGGCGGGTGCACGTATTGTATAAAAATTACTGAAAATATCAGCGTTTGCAACGAGATTTCATGGTCGACAATTAAGATACAAGGGACTCCTTGGGCAACATTCATAGTGAACACTTAACATGAATGTTACTTAACTGACCAATTCTTATTCACACATATCTGTTATTCGCAAATGAGTGGGCAATATTATACTTGTCATTCGCATAAATTAGGTCACTTGTTCTCTTAGCTGTGCCGCATTTCACTTCCTTTTTTAACGGTTTAGGGTAAGTTCTTACCTCCAATGACTACGTTCATACCTACAATGACTCCACAGAATCAATTGAATGCACCACAAAACACTATATTTCTACATAGAAAAAGTATACCAGAAACATGGAGAATTGATTGCATATCTTCAATTACGATGTCAAAAGCGCAGAAACAAAATTGATCGATCTTTGTTCGAAAAATATTGAGTGTGTGTGCACACCATGGCCATTTATCTATGAAACTAGTACAAGTGACACATGATATGATTCCGATCATTTAAAAAAACGCCCATTCCGCATTCAAAGTGTATGATAAACCGACGATTTATTAATAGATCACTTATTGCGTTTTGAAATGATAGACGAACGATGAAATAAGAACATCATTGTTCAAGCAAAAAAGAAGACAGGGTGTTGCGAGAGAGAAGAAAAGACAAATAAATTAGACATCGATTTAGATGAATAAAAGGAAGGAGGAGAGGAACAAGAATAATTTTTCGAAGAAAAGGAAAAGAAGATAAAGGAAAATTTGAAAAAACAATTGAACGGGGGAAGGGAAGAAGAAGAAGAAGGAAAAGGAGAGGAAAGGGAAAGAGGTAGAGGATAGAGTAAGGAGAAAGGCAGGGGGAAGAGAGAGGCGATCGGGAGAGGGAAGAAGAGAAAAAAGGAAAGAAGAAAGATAGACGGAAGAGGAACAGGAAGAGAACAAGCCAGCAAAGGAATAGAAAATAGAGAAAGAGGAGACATGGGCATAGCAAGAACAGGAGCAAAAGCGAGGGCAAGACGAGGGCGAAGGAGAGGGCGAGGGCGAGGGCGAGGGCGAGGGCGAGGGCGAGGGCGAGGGCGAGGGCGAGGGCGAGAGGGAGAGCAAGAGGAGAGGGCGCACCCCCTGAGCGCCGGCCGCGCGGGCGCGCGCCGGGGAGAGCACGGGGCCGACGCTGAGCATCTCTGCGCAGGCGAGCGCCTCGAGGGCCAGCAGGCGCACGTGCTCGTCGCCCAGCGCCCACGCGCCCACGCGCAGCGCGTGCACCGCCGCCACCAGCCCCAGCGCCCACCACGCCTCTGCCACACACACACACACACGCGCGCAATAACGTTTATACCTACGTTATTTTCAATAATGTCCATTTGTGAATGAGAATGAGATAGACGGGCGATTAAAGTAGTGTGCATGAGTTTCTGATTCCAACATATTTTGCCCGAGTTTTGACCCATTGTCCAGCCATATGGTATGTCTGTGAGCCGAGCTGTAGAATTTGAAAATGTTTAAGAAAATGCAGTTGTCAGCTAATGTTGCCATGTTTATGCACAAACACGAAAAGTATTCAAGTCGTTGAATGGAAACAACTGGGTCATACAGTACTTTACAACCCACCTTACCTTGCACTATTAACTATGACATGTTTCCATGTTTGAAGGATTTTCTTGGCAACTGTTCAGTGACAACGAAGAAATGAGAACTGCATTGAGCTTCTTCAAAGGCGACATAACTCGACGTCAGAATTCTAAAATTTGTTAAGCAGTATAACTAATGTTTGAACAAAAATGAAAATTATGTAGAAATGAAGATACATAATTTTCATATATATATATATATATATATATATATATATATATATATATATATATAGGTCTTTTCAGAAGTCATTGCAATTATTTTATTTATTCCGAATCACAGGGAATGTGGCACTGTGCATCAACTGATGTCCCTGCAGTGCCTCCTCTGACCGGGAGGTGCCAGGTTCTAGTAGTGCTTAATTTTAAATAATTTTCTTTTCAAAAATACTTTAACAACTATAATACATGCTTTGGAAGAAGAATGCAGGGTTGAATTATATTTGCCCTCAACCCTGAAAAAGCTATCGATGCCACTGCTAACACCACACAGCTGATTTCTAGCACCAGCCACTGCAGACACAAGCGACTATCCACGCCCGGGGTCGGGATTCGCGCTGACGACCTTTCACATCCAACCGCAAGGTGCGCCCGCCTAAGCCTCAACTAGAGCACCTCAATTTCTAATTCGCTATTGCGGCGGGTTACTGCTGCAGAGTTATGAGAACCCTCTTATCTTGTATCAAGATAAGGCCACTTGTTTTCATTTCTGGATAGTTCATTTGTAAATGTCTTTAATTAACTTTATAAGATGTTAAATCGAAATAAAAAGGTAGAAGAAATTAAGAAGGAAGAGTCATTGTAAAGACTGCAACGCAAAGACAAACACAAAACAATCAGTATGAATACATGGTTATTTTATGTTACATAAAATATTCTCTCTTCTTCAGTTCAATTATCCAAATTTTTACATCTTCTTCTACATGCATTGAAAATTGATTCGTTACATTTCACAAACATGAGCAGTTTCCCTAGCCTTATTATAAAAACAGGTGTAGAATTTCTTGCAGTACACCTTCATGTCTGAAACACTATTCGCCCCAATATTACGATATTTAAACTCGAAAGCACATAACCAATTCTCAAGATCATATTTCCTACTCTGAAGGGAATTGTTTACCTACAGTTCCTAGATGCAGAGAATATATTTTTATGCCGCCGATTCCGCAATTTTATATTCATTAGTACGAGGAGTTCCAAGTAAATGTTGAAACTCACCAATCTACCACAAACCAATATTAATGTACTAGAATCTCTCTGCAATGTCTCCTAAATGCTGCCTGGCAGGGCAATCAGGTGAAAGGTTCTTAAATGGTGATGGTCGTTTACGTTGCTCTACAACTTCATCGTTACACTCGAAACATTTCAAACTTTAGACTCTAACACTCCAAAGTTAGACGTTAGCACTTCAAACGTTAAACTCGAACCCTCCAAACTTAGACATTACGAAAACATGGGAGAGTTCTCATAAAAGGCGGACTCCAGTTGAGGGTTAACGATCTCGGCTTTCCAAGTCAGTAGGATAATATTTAAATCAATTTCATTTTGCAGAGAAGTCGTACTAACGTTTGATGATTCCGGCACGTCAATTGATATAGTCATTAATTCTTTTAATGTAATGAATGATTTACCCTGCATGGTGGAGAGGTTTCTAGATGGTGAGATCTGGCGCTGTCCCTTCAAGGTATTCCTCCCAGAGGGGTACAGACCCATCCGGGACAAGTTTTCTTTTCCCAACATGTGAGGTAGTGAAGTGTAAGTGTAAGTGTATGTAAGGGGAGATGATGCAGTAAGTAAGGATGAGAAATGTCTCGCGCAATCCGTGGGCAATTTGATAGGGTAATGTTCCGGCATTCGCCTGGAATGGATGGGAAAAAACACGGAAAATTACCGATCAGAGCAGCCGGCTGCTAGAATTCTCCTCCAGACAGCAGCTAAATTCAACCTAGCTATCTCACAGTGTCGAAAATCTGCCACTGTCGGGGTTCCAACCCAGGAAACCAGTCTCAGGAGAGACAGCGGCAACGCTATCTCTGAGCCAATCAGGATTAGTTGATCCAATTAACGAGAACCCTTCCTTTTCCCGGTCGTCACGAGCAAAACAAAAGTCGAAAGCTCCTCTAAGGACGACTGCAAAGAAGTTCCCAACCTTACCCGGGCACCCTCAGCAACCCCTGCTGAGGGTGCAACGCAATCACAGCTCTGTCCAGACCGCAGGCTACTCCCATCGCCCTAGTCTCCGCTGCTCCCCGCCCCCGCCCGCGCCCCGCCCACCGCCCACTGCCCGGGCACCGCGGCGGCCGGGATTGTCGCCGGGGGCGCTGTTTTTCTTTTTTTTTTCTTCTTTTTTTTTTCGACAACAGCCGAGCGGTCCGGAGCAGAGCAGGTGCCCGACGACGCTGCTGCCCCCACCGCTCCTCGCCCCACCCCTCCACGCCACGCCACGCCACGGCCCCCGCGAGCGGTGGGCCCGCGGCGGGAAATAAGTATAAATCAAATAAATAAATGTCAGCAGTACTTAGTTCAGCAATTATAAGTGAATAGGCTCAAATCTTGGTATATACTTGTATGTATCTTCAACTTCCTATATGACTCCCTATATAGATAGTTAAGAGTTTTATATGACTAGTGTAATGACCGTATTTCTCCATCCCTACCATTCGATGGTTAAATAATTTTTATACGTCCTATCATGGAATAGTTAGATACAGTGACCAGGGAGCTCAGGTGGGGTTTAGGTGCTTGTGGTTTTGTCCTACAATGGGCAATTAACGCAGCTCACGCAACAATACGGTTTGAAGCCTGCGTGTTCGAGAAATAATTTTTGGCCAATGGCTTTGGGAGCGGCTCTCTGTATGAGAACACCGATATAGGCTACTTTTTCGGCCTGACAATGTCGGCGGGAAACTAAACTCCGGCTTTATTCTCCGCAGAGTCCGCAGCATTTGTTGGGTCCCAGAGTAAATCTATGTTAGATGATTATCGGCCACAATATGATGTTAAATTATAGCTACTATATATAACGCATGACTCGCACACAAACGTAGCTTGTTAAGACAATGAGGATTTATACAATAGGTCGAACAGTAACGAGAGTAATAACAAAAGTGCTCGCGGTGATGTGAGGGAAGGGAAGACTGCCGTGTAGGTAGGGCCATGAGGGATTTGGCTATTATATTATACACTTTGTTTTTATTGCTTGTCAGTGCCTATTCCATCCGAGAGGTTGCAGACGATGCATTGATATTTAAGCGTTTGTAGCAGTTGGACTCGCTCGGTGTTGGCAGGGCAGCAGAGCTTGCTTAGGTTGGGCGTATTTACAGGTTTTAAAATTATCGGGAATGGTGACAAGATGGGATAACGGTAAGGGAGATTGTGGATGTGGGAATGTGAATTAGATATAGTGAGGTCGGGGACGTCAATGTCGCTCGAGGGTCTTCTTGGAACGTCTCAGTAAGTGTAGTCGACAATGGCGTTATAGCGGGAGGTGGGGGGGATCTTGAGCAGACGATGATCCGGGCAATGACCTCTGTGGTCGTCATGGATCTCACTAACTTGCGATACCGACGTAGACATTCAGGAGCTTTCCGTTTAAATCGATATATTTATTACAAAGAAAACAAACAAATAATACATCAGCTACGAACATTAATTAAGTTTACATTATGAAAACGCGCGCCTAACGCTTCTTGATAGCTATCTGGGTCGATAACTGATTCGCGGGAGGATCAAAAACTGACGTCTGAGTGGACAGCATGTGATTGATTGGGTGGCATTCGCCAACTTCACTCCATAGTGTAATGAGTCGGGCGGGCCGACAAATAGCCTAGCTTCGTGACGGCAGCTGGTGGACATTCGTTGGAACCGCGTCGTTATCACTAATCAACACAAAGTTCCTCGGGTTGCGTAAGTGGACAGGCTGACCAGGAAGACGTCCCTCAGGGTTTTGCCTCGATGAAGGGGGCGAGATTTTCTTCATCCGCAGGGATTTTCGAAGGAATCGGCCGATAGAGTGGAATCGTGGCAGCTGCAACATCTTTGAGCATTAAGGGCTAGAAACGCTCGACAGCATACGGTCGCCGCGCTCCCGAATTACCAGGCGCGCTCTTATTTCAGCCGTTGTCGCAGTCACGGTCACAAGGACACTAGACGAATTTCCGAAAGCACCGGCCTTGCGCTCTCGATAATCTTTTAAGAGTGATCTTGAGCTCTCCGGAGCCGGGGCTCGACATATGCCCGTCGTGGCGGCGCCTCAACTGGTCGCTTTGTTGTGTCTTTCTCTGCGAAATCTTGTAAGAGTGTTTTCATCTCTCCGGTTTCTTCTTCCTAACCAGCCATCATTTGCGCGTCGTAGCTTTTGAAACTGGGCGTGTGATTTATTTTAAAAGTAGTGTCGTGGTGCACAACACTCAGCGAACCGCTATATCTTAGCATTATTCTGCTGAAAAAATTGAAGATGTCTTTTTATCATGCCCCCAGGTCACCAACTATTAGTCAGAGTTTTTTATGCACAGACGATACATCTGTAGTGAGTTTGCGTGAAGAGACCACTACACACACGCTTCTTTTGTGGTTTATGTAGTCACCGTTTTACGCGGCTGGGCACGCTTTTTTCCTTCTTTATTATCTGGAATTCCTACTTTAGATCTTCTTTTCTCGTCTTTATGTGGTGGGCTCGAGTGGTGCCTTTACATTATCACTTCCACTGTTCCGCCAAGACCACTTGCTCGTGGCGCTTTTCGGGCATTTGAATCACGCATCCCCCTATACGCTTGGGTGGGCCACTTTTCGCGCCTTAATAGTCATTCTAATCATCTCTCTTTCATTGGAAAACTTAACGGAAGTGTGCCAGAACGAAACGCACACACGTGGCTGATTCTTTCATGACGAGAGACTACGGCATATATATCTCTCGTCCGGCTGATTTGGATTGGGTCGTAAGATTTGCTGTCTTTAATCAAGCTTAGTGTGTGGGCTCACTCGAGCTCTCAAGACGTGGTGTTGTGTGAAATTGTTTCGTATTGTTTGGAACTTTGGCGTGGCAATATAAAGAGGACGACTCGTTCAGGGCTTCTTTAAGGCAGACGCACATCTTTGAGTTATACCGGTATCCGGCACACGCAGCCTTCACGACATGTAGCGTCTCATCGGTGCTGGGGCCGGTACGTCACTTCGAGCGGGAGAGGCCGGTTCTGTAATTTTCTCACGCGAGCCTTACTTTTTTCTTCTAACATCATAGTTGGCGGACTACCCAAAACAGGTAAAGGAAATTAATCTTTTGGAAGCCCGGTAAGCGCGATAAGGGACACGCTTACGAGCTGCTGTCCAGGTCTTCTAATGCTTAATTGAAAATCTAACTCCCCTAATAATGAAATCAAAAAAGCACTAGAAGAAGTAGATTCAATTTCTGTGTCAGAATATGTGAAAAGGGGAAGAACTTAAAAATGGCAGATAACGGGAATTCAATCAATCAACGAATGATTATTGATGAAAAACACTTACATACATTTTAGAGAAATATGCTAGCCTAACTGAAATTGGGGACATACGTTTCAAAATAATGTTCTAAAAATGTTCTTCGAAAATAATAGTCCACTTTAAATGGGAATGGATGAGGATTCGGACTAAATTTATGTTTTTTTTTGGTGTTGGTCAATTATAATGGGTTACTCTTTCTGGTCCTACTCGCCGGCAGTGCTACAAGTCTCGTCCGCAAAACTCTCTCGTCTCTAGTAACGCAAAAACTGGGAGTGCACGGAGTAAATAAGGCACAACAGGGAGGTCAGGGTAACTGTACCGATCATCCGCCTCGTGAATGCGCCCGTCTTCACAGGGGAACTCCACCTTGCTGGTCGGGCGGCATCGAGCCAGACGAGGACGCGGTTGCCGCTTCGTGACAGATCAGTAGCGCTGCGGTAAGGCTGATGAGCTACACGATGGCGAGTAGTGGCCACCTGGGGGGAACAAGCCGAGGGCTCAGGGTATTTCACTCGACAGTTACGAAATTTTGTTGCCGTGGAAAGGTGAGAGAAACCTACGTATATCACATCATCATATTGTTATAAAGTTTTATGGAGGGATTATATTTATATATATATATTTTATATAAGTTATATATATATATATAATATATATACCGTTCTTGAGGAAACTAGTGTTTTCGCTAAATGAACCGTAGATTTCTAAGAACTGTGGTGAAGTTGATTAGTTCTGGCGGAGTCTATTTGATGACAATAAGACGTGTTCGACGAATATGTTTTTTTAAATAATCGGAATTAGCGCTGTGCGAAGTACCGACAACTGGCGGATGTGCCATACTGGGTGGGAAGTTCCAGCTCATTATTAGATAATCTCTTCCGAATTGCAGTATTGCTTTGCCTGTATTTGACTAGAACTATTTGTGCAAGTTAGAAACTAAGTTCTTATAATGTCACAGTTATTGCCAAATTCAAGGAATGGGCCTGTCATTCTTATCCATGCGACAGGTTGCCACGTTGACGGGTATTTTTGTTAGATGGGTGTACGTGATGTATAAAATACTGAAATTCAGCGTTTGCACGAGAATTTCTGGTCGACATTAAGATCCAGGGACTCCTTGGGCATTCATAGTAGCACTTAACATGAATCTTAATGACCGCTTCTTATCAACATTCTGTTATCCGCAATGAGTGGCAATCATTTTACTTGTATTCGCATAAATTAGGTCCTTGTTATCTTATGTGCGCTTTGCCGGCCTCTTTTTTAACGGTTTAGGGTAAGTTTACCTCATGATACGCTCATATACAATGCTTCACAGAATCATGTGAATTGCACACAAACCTATATTCGTCATAGAAAAGGCTACTCCAGAAACATGGAGAATGGATTGGCATGTTTCAATTACGAACGATTCGGAAAGCGAAGAAGCAAATTGATCGATCTTTGTTGAGAACATATCAGTGTGTGCACACATGGCCATTATCCATGAAATAGTAAAGTGACACCCATGATATGATTCGATCATTTAAAGAAACATCCCATTCCCATTCAAGTTATAACGCAAGTCGACGATAAAAGACGGTTTCTTATATATTTATTGCGTATGAAATGATCGACCGACGTGAACTAAGAACAATATTTCATCAAAAAGTAGCAAGATGATGCGAGAGAGAAGAAGAGACAATAAATGACACTGTTTAGATTAATAAGGAAGGAGAGAGGATAGAATAATATTTCGAAGAAAAGAAGA